CTTGATGAGTAGTATTTCGAGCCAAAACGAGCTGAACACGAACGAACACATCTAAGTTCGTGTTCGACTCGTTAACTCATCGAACGAAATTAAAGAGCCGAACACGAGCTTCTTAACGCACCAAACACAAGCTGCTCGCGAACAACGAGCCGTTTTGACAGCCCTAGTCTACGGTCGAGTTGAACCTGAAGCCATTTCACTTGTGAGACGCCCAAATCATTTGTAAGCCTACCAAAGCACTGTACCGGCCTTCCATTACGACCAAGATGCCTTTGGCGAATATAATTCAATTAGCAAGATAATAAATTAAAATAAAAATTAAAAAATAAAATAAATGATCACAGCGATTTATGGTAAAATAAAATAGGGCACAATTTTGACATATTTATATATTTAATGCCTATAACATTTACATTTATTATGCATCACATTTAACATTGTTTATCTCTTGGATGGATATTCTTTATTTATATATTGGTAACTAAACCATTTTTGGAGTATATCTTGTTCCTTTGTTTATTTTGGCTGTATATTCTTTGTTTATTAGAGCAGCAACGAGTCCTGCCTTATTATATTTGCTTTGCTTTTCTGCTGATTTAATTGCTCAAGTTTGCTGATTTATTATGGTTGGTTTTTAAATGTATTTTGGTCTTTCTTATTGTTGTTTTGTTGGTACTAGCCGTCTTTCTTTGTCTTTTGTATTAAGGGTTTAGTGTTGTGAAATTTAGGGCGAAGAAAACACAAAAATTTAACGAGGTTCGGCAAATATGCCTACATCCTCATAAGCAGAGCGGTGAATTTCACTATTTCAAAAGAACTGCATACCCATAGAGTTACATATCTATTTATAGATAAAACCCACACATAATTACAAACACGCCCTCGCTCCCCCTAACTCACTAATCCAAGAGACACATCTCTTCACACCAAGAGACACACATCTTCATTCCAAGAGACACGCCTCTCCAAATATAATAGACTCCAAATTCTTGATATATGAGTCATACCTAACAATTCTCCATCTTGGCGAATATCCAGCCCCTTAGGAGAAAATCTTCACCTTGCGAATATTCAGCCCCTTAGGAGAAAAAATCATGGAGTTTTTTACACCGAAGTGGGTTGGGCAACCATGCCAACTAGCAACTGCAAACATTTTACAAGTTCAAGTAACACAATAACTTATTGAAAATACCTGACTTGGTTAAAATACCTGCTGCAATTTCATCATATGATCCTACAGAATGAACTCCACTAACTGTACACCTCAACAGTTTATAGATATTACCATCAGGTTTCATAGCTCGTAATATCTTCAAAATTCTTTGTTGTGCCAACAACAAAGAAAGAAAATCTTCCTGTCTCAAGCCTCAACCAAAGGAAATCAGAGGGACTTCAAAGAAAAAAACTTTCCTTTCCTCCCAGTAGAAATTTCAAGGGAAAATCCGAAAGAATATTCCTCTGGTAGAAATCAAAGACTCCTTGATCCCTTATTCAGTCCCACATTGCTTCTCTTATTCGCGACGCCTGCAAAGCCCGAACTCTCGAACTGCTGCACTAACCACTAACTGCGTGCAGACCGAAACCAAAGGTATTCATGTTCGCACTAACCGCTTCCTGCAAAGATTCGCTCTTTGCCTCGCTGAAACTGTCGTAAATCCATCTCCTATTGTTCCTACACCGAAGCCCTGCCAGAGAAACACGAAAACCACTGCAGAATCATCAATAATGAATGTCGTCCGCGACTTCCTGCGATCTGCCGCTATTCCTCGCTCGACTCCTCCAAGCCAAATGTCTGTCGCAGAAAGCAGGAACTATTCACGACCTCCTTGTCGAACTTCCTGTCCGACCAGTCGCACACGATCTGATCGCAGGCACTGTCGGGATTCTTCTGGCAAACCAAACTCCTCTAAGAAATTGCCGCAAACCGTCGAACCAAAACCTTCTTCTTCCTCATTCTTCCTGTGTCGATCTCCTCCGCCCAAGAACCTTGTTCTGATACCAATTGTTGTGAAATTTAGAACGAAGAAAACAAGTCCAGAAGAAGAACACAGAGATTTAACGAGGTTCGACAAAGATGCCTACATCCTCGGGAGCAGCGCGACGAATTTCACTATTTCAGAGGAGTTGCATACCCATAGGGTTACATATCTATTTATAGATAAAACCCACAGATAATTACAAACACTTCATTGCTCCCCCCAACACACTAATCCAAGATACACACTTATTCACACCAAGAGACACATCTCTTCATTCCAGGAGACACACATCTTCATTCCAGGAGACACACCTCTCCAAATCCAAGAGACTCCAAATTCCTGATATATGAGTCATACCTAACATTTAGATTGAGTGTCTTTTTCCTCTTTTTAGATGTTTTGTTATTATCTGTTTTTTTTTTTTATGTAAACTGAATTGATATTTATTTTTATCTTGGGCTTATTAGATAAGAGCCGGAAAGGTTTTTTTTTTTTTTTTAGTTTGCTATAACGAATTCTATTCAAGCATTAATATAAAATTCAGCCGTATTTTGACTATTCTGAATTTGTTTTTAAGATATTTATTGTAATTTAATGGAATTTTAATAATTTCTTAGTTAGATATTTTGATCTTATTGTTTTATTCGTTTTTGTGTCAGATTAATATATATCTTCTCCTGGACGTGGTTTTGATTTTCAGACTTGGTTGTTGTTCAAATAAGAGGAGTAATTTTTTTAAAGTTGATTGTTGATTCTTAGTTGAAACGACCATGCTACTTGTCTTTGAAATCAGTTGTTGAATGGGATTGCTCCTCTTCTTTCTTCATTTAAAATGTTTCAAGACATTGCTCTTTTGGTATCTAGAATGTCGTCTCGTTTACTCCATTGATGTTATCTACCTCTTCCGGTGGAATTCTAGTGGTTGTTAGACTTATAGTATGTTTTGTTATCTCAATTGTTAGTTCTGTTGTTTTCTTCTTTTATCTTTTTTTCTTTCTTTTAAGTTCTTTTTTTATACGACTTTGTAATGATTTTTGAGTCATGTACTCAATTTCTTTGAATAACGCTCGGCATCATTTTAAAAAGAATAAAAAACACTTAATATTCATATTTATATGCACAAAACTCAAATATTTAACAAATTAAAAAAAAAAGTAAAATGCATGCTTACATTTTATAAGTGTAAATATTAAATTGTAGAGGTTAGATATGTAAATTCTGTGTAATGCAGGTGAATTCTCTAATAAAACAAGCAAAAAGCGGACATTTATGGGACACAAGGAATGTGTCGTTTGGAAGAACTTGCCTCAAAAAAAGTTGCATCCGAGCAAAATTTGCGTTATTACTCTATATTATTGTTCAAACACTTCTATCCGAAGTAACGCAAACAGCAATACGATGCAGAAAAAAGAAATATGTGTTAGTGTCATTCTAGAGCCGAGATCGAAGGCGGCTGTAAAATGCAAGACCAATGAACGAATCAATTATTAAAAGAAAAGAATTACTGTGAATCGGAACAGACCTCCACGAATACCGGGAGTCTTCTGCCCCTCCGGCCGGGCCCATAGAGCACCTTCTGTATCTCGGCCTCCTCGGCTTTCGTCGGCGGCCAAGAGAACGCCGGCACCGGTTTCTGTACCGGCGGCTCTCTTTCAGGTTTAATGATTTTCATCTTCTTGCTTCCAGAGTTACAAACCGCTGGAGGAGGAGCAGGAGCGGGATCGAGTGCTTCGGGTCGGATGTATTTATCGCCGTCCGCGCTGGATCCAACGGCTGAGCCTTCTCTGCCGCTCTGCCAACCAATCGTTATTAGAAACAACGAAGAGCTTGCATGCAGAACCGATCAAAACACTATAAAATCGAAATTAGAAAGAGTTGCCGGAACGATTGATTCAAATTGGATGTTCTGAGTAGTGTTCTTTTGGTTAATTATAATTAGAGAAAAAGAATGGGATTGTGGAGAACTGATTGAATATCTTTTTTTTTAGATTTGACTTGGACCAAGTTCAGTTAAAGCAAATCCAAGTTGCACAAGATGAAATCAACTGTAAGAATGTACACATAACAAAATTTTGAAAAAAAAAATGTGGGGTCAAATAAAGCTCAAATCTAAATTGTTGACATATTTGAATAAATCTTTGATAAAAACATAACCAAAACATTGCATAAATAACTAATTTAAAGCCCTGGTTATAATTTTATCACTAATTTAATTTAAAAAAATAAGATAATGCATTATAAAAGAACTAAACATGTAACACTGCATTTTGTTCTATTTATATATCTAACATTTAAATCTTTATATTTATGTATATAATAAATTATATTATTTAATTTTTAAAATGATAAAAGTATCATTAGTATTAATATATTTAAATAAAGTGACACCAGTAGCACAAAAATGTATATGATATTATATGAGGAAATATAAAGCATGAGATATGAAGTATGTAAGTAAATACGTAAATAATTATCTATGTATATATGTCAAGGTAACTCCAGAAAAAAAATGAAGAGAAACAGAGACGCAGTGGAACAAAAATGGCAAACAAAAAGCGTAGTGAATGTTAACAAATATTTTGTTTCGTTTATCTTTAAAATCTACCTCGGGCTTCAACTTCCAAGGGGGAGGGCTACCGCGCAGTTCTTGCTTTCCGTGTGCAAACTGAGGGCATTAAAGAAAAATGCAACAGAACTTATTAAGTTACTCCTTCAAAAAAGTTCAATGGAAAATTCTTGCTGAAAGTGGATTCGTGGAGAAACCTGGCAACGGGAACCAAAGCGGCAAAATCCAAATTCTTCCCAGGAGCAGCAGATGTCAGTCTTAAGGAATTTGGCGTCGATGGGATTGTTTTTAACAGATGAAGAGGAGGAAGAGGATGAGATGCGTTCCAAGGGTTGGCGATTCCGGCCTGGCATTGGCAAGGACACGACTGTAGCATCCATCACCAGGACATCATCTCCAATCTCAAACTTCATGGGAGTCGTGTAGTTGAGATAGGCAGGAGAAGACCGCCCAGATAACAGCAGCGATTGAAGGTTCTCAATAGAAGACAGGGGAGTATTGACGGAGCCGCGTCGGGACGAAGAGGAGAGCGATCTCGGGTTGATGAGTTGCTGCAACTGCATCCGCGCAGCAACAGCGGCGGCGGAGGAAGAGCTGGAGTCTGGTGAATCGTTGGAGGAGGAGGAGGATGAGGAAAAGCGGAGCCGACTAAGGTGGGATTGCTTGAAACGGAGCAAAGAAGAATCGATGTTTAAGGGACTGTTTGAGCTGAATCCACCCGCCGATGCAGCAGCGGTGAAGGCTGGGGTTAAGAAGGCGTTCGGAGATGGAGAAGATAACGAGAATCGACGGCGTGCGTTTTTTACAATATCCGACCGCGCTCCAGAGGACTCCAAGCTTACGATCGTCTCATCGGAGTCGCTTAATCCACGCATTTCCGAGGCAAGATTATGGTAGCCAGAAAAGTAAAATGGAATGATAACTCAGGATAAAGCTATTCCCGCCCAGCTTATGAGAATTAAGAAATTTTAAAAAATGGAAAAGCGCGGCAAATAACAATTAAGTTCCGACTGCGATGAATCTATGATCTACATTCCAAACCTCATTTTCACCTTCCGACATGCACTAGCTACCGTGATTCCTGAGCATTTCACAAAATCTGGAGATAGAATAATAAAATCTGAATTCCGTTCAACAGAAGAAATTCAAGAAATTCCTGCCGAAATTCCAGCCGCCGATCGCGAGTCAGGCATCCTCTCGGCGGGCGGGGAAACAAAAAAC